GTGTTCTCTTTGCTACTTTCCGGAACATTCAATACAACGATGTACCAATTTTGATGAGACTCAAGACTTATGCAGTCCCAGTTCTGGAATATGGGTCACAGATCTGGAGTCCCTACAAAAAGAAGCTCCAAGTAAAAATAGAGAAGGTCCAGCAAACATCCACAAGAATTTTGATGTATCGATGCTATCCAAATCCAGATTACCCTATTGCTATGCACGGTTATAGAGAGCGCCTGCATCATTTCAAAGTCAAATCGCTTCTTTATCGACGCATCTTTAACGATGTGGTTTTCTTTTGTCGAGGGCACGCTTACAAGCTCTCTCTACAATGCCCTAAACTTATGAAAAAACAGTACTGCAAAGCCTCCAACTCTCTATTTTTCCGTGGAGCAAAATGGCTTCAGATGTTACCAGCTGAAATTGTTGCTGCGCGAAATAGCAACGTTTTCAAAAATAGGTTGAAGAAGATCGACTTGCTATCACGATTTGGAACACAGGACTTTTGAAACTCTTTCAAAACACGTGAAAGTTATCTACTCAACATTTCGCTTGTAGCTTCTTCCTGCTGTTGCTTTTTGCAACTATCTTTAAACCTGGTTGACTCGTGGGGGAATAATGGGCCCGCTCTAGATTACCGATTCTTTTCTTTTGTGTTATACCTCACTTCTTACTTGTTTGTTTGTTTGCTTTGTTGGAATCTAATTATTTGTACCTGATTTATTTCATTAGGTAGTAAGTCTCCACGAGGAGGTTTATTGATTAGTCATAATTCTCCTGCACTAGGACTGAATTTGCATTACTTTTTCATGTGAACCGGATGATTTGTCTGAGGCTGTGATAATCGTAAGGGCAGGTCGAAGGCTGAATTTTTAGAGGTAGGGAATACCTAACATCCGAAAATTCGGTCTCCGACTCCACAGGTACGCTAGCGTCTGTCTTGGATTGACGTTATCCTTAGCGTCATCTGCCTACTAAATTCAAAAGTGGATGCTCTTCACTACCATACAGCTCTTATTACCTATTTTAACTTTCTGTAGTGCATTCCTTCTTCGGTTCATTATTTTTCTCTTACACACCTGACTGGAGATCTCCCTACCTTTTGTTTTGAACCATGATTAACTTTTATTTGATTGCAATGTTGAAGTGATAAGATCTGAAATTGTAGTCCGCGCACCTAAGCGTGCACCAAATCCTCTATCCTCTATATACCCTAAAATTCCATAGATAAGAGTGGTTTAATTTACCCGCGAAAATGAATTGGAATGAAAGTGAAATTGAATGCAGTCACCCCTCTAACTTGATGGATGGATAAATAAAAATCGAAGCAGAAGTTTAGAAGAAGTTCCGCCCCTCAACTCTGAACCCCGCCCACACAATAAACAATTTATATAGAAAAATAGCGATTTCAACGGAATTTCTGCCGGAATCTCTCTTGAAATGCCGGAATTTGATATCTGGGTAAAACTTGAAGAGCCTATTCGATCTGTAAAATTCCATAGATAAGAGCGGTTTAATTTAACGGTAAAAAAGGATTTTGAAAAAATATTTTTAAAACTTCATTTGACACAATAAACAATAACACAATACAATAAACAAATACTAATACAATAGACAATAAACAACAAGGACTTCAACATAAACATAACACTAAACTTTTTCAATTTCTACTTCATCATCATCCTTTATATTCATCATGGCAAAATC